CTTCTATCTATGATTTGAATCCTTGAAAAGATCCCCAAAGCAAGAAAACCTCCAGAAGTGAAGGGAGGGGACTATATCCCCATTCCCTTACAGACGGAAGTGGCAAATTAACATAAAAGATGCAAAGAGATATACTAAGATTTGATTTAAAATATTTCAGTCTGGACAAATCTAGGAACTAAAAAACTGTCAAGATTTTACCCTAAAAAAATTCTGATGGAATTATAAAAATATATAACAAAAATAACTTTTTGATTGAAAGAAAAGCTGAAAAAAGAAATAACTGCTGACATCTAGTGGAGAATCAGAGAATAGAACACTAACAATAAAATGATTGGTCCATTAGAGGGTGGAAGTAGCAAGAAGGTGACAAGCAACAGGGAGAAAGCAGAACTATTTAACTCATTTTTTGCATCTGTCTTTACACAAAGGGAAAAAACAGACCAACCTATCAAAAATAGTGCCATACTGGGCACTAATTAACAAAATGAAATTCAATGGTGAAAAAAGCAAGGTTCTACATTTAGGCAAGAAAAACCAAATGCACAAGTACAGCATAGGTGGCACCATGCTCAATAGTAGTAACTGTGAGAGGGAGCTCGGAGTCCTAGTATACAATCACTTAAATATGAGCCAGCAGTGTGCTGCAGCTGCCAAAAAGGCCAACACAGTGCTAGGCTGCATTAACAGAGGGATAGAATCAAGATCACGTGAAGTATTAATACCACTCTTCAATGCCTTGGTAAGGCCACACTTGGAATACTGCATCCAGTTTGGTCACCACGATGTAAAAAAGATGTTGAGACTCTAGAAAGAGTACAGAGAAGAGCAACAAAGATGATTAGGGGACTGGAGGCTAAAACATATAAGGAACGGTTGATGGAATTGGGTATGTCTAGTTTAACGAAGAGAAGGACAAGGGGGGACATGATAGCAGTATTCCAATATCTCAGGGGCTGCCATAAAGAAGAGGGAATCAAGCTATTTTCCAAAGCGCCTGAAGGCAGGACAAGAAGCAACAGATGGAAACTAATCAAGGAGGGAAGCAACCTAGAACTAAGGAGAAACTTCCTGACAGTGAGAACAATTAATCAGTGGAACAGCCTGCCTCCAGAAGCAGTAAATGCTCCAACACTGGAAGTTTTTAAGAAGAGACTGGACAGCCACTTGTCCGAAATGGTGTAGGGTTTCCTGCCTGAGCAGGGGGTTGGACTAGATGACCTCCAAGGTCCCTTCCAACTTTACTACTATTACTATTACTAATAAGGACTCCGAAATTGGCAGAATGCCCAGAAACAAAGAAAAAGTTGTTCCTTTGAATTGCAAATAAACTTGAAAACAGCTAGGAACAAAGGAAGAGCCCGTTATAAGATTAAAAAGTGTTTGAAAGATTAAAAAGTGTTTGAAAGGAAAAAAAACAACAACACCTGACTATTGCTTAAACCTAAGAACTGTTTATGGGGGAAAAAAACCCTTAGCTTTTTGGCTAATCTTTTAGAGGAGAATTTGCAGGAAGGATTTAAAGTGGCTTAATATACTGATATAATTTTGATTGACTGATAAATTGACTTTTGAATTAAAACATTGATGAAAGATTATTTGAAGAGGGAGACAACATGGATATCACATATGTATCAAAAAAAATGACAGGATGCCACATTCAATATTTTCAATTACCAAATTCAAAATCTATAATAAAAGCATTGAAAAAACATAACAGTAAAAATACATGCATATAGTACATTATATAAAAAACAGGATATTAAGGACATTAATTACTGAAAGTCTGGCCTATTCTTCTCCAGACTTTCCTGATTCCAAGGTAAAATCTATTCATTGTTTCAGACAACCAGTTCTTTTTAACTAATCAGGAACACAAGCAAAGTGGAAGTGAAACCAGTGTGTGTAGAACTTATGTGCAGAAACAGCTGTGTATCCGTCTGCACTTTTAGCTCACATATATTCACCAAGCCATTCCCAAGAAGGTGGCACAGCTCCAATGGTTTCTCATATCTTTCTTTGAGTAGAGGAGAATGATAACTTGGGCCGCAATCTCTCATCATTACAGTTCTAAATATAATAAAAAGAAACAGAAACATAATCAGCTTCTTCCATGTAGTCAGTTAATATTTATGCTTATGTGGGGGAATCAGCAGAATCATTTCCAACATGCATGCATTTAATTTACTGTCTGTATAGAGACTCACATAAAAAGTGGAAAGCAAAATTCCTGAAAACAGTATGTGGAGGAGTTCTGCACACCTAACCATGGTGGCTGTTTCAAGCATTTTGAACCTACACATGACAAATGTAAAGCATACTTACTATTGTGGTGTCACTCCCCTGGTGGATTATTGTGGTGTCACTCCCCTGATGTTTAAATCCACCGTATTTAAAAATTAAAAACATATATTTCATGGATTTTGAGATTTAGTTTATTTTATGAAGGTCCTATATGTCATCTTGAGAACAGCCTTTCTCAACTTCGTACTGGCAAATCTGCGTTTGACTACAACTGCCATTATCCCCAGTCTGCTTGGCTGGGATATATTGAGCTCAAGAGCAACAAAGCAATCAATATGGTAATAACATTAAATGTAAAAGCTTACTAGGATTCCCATTGTACAGTAGCTAGCAACATTGGTGAATCCCTCTTCTTAATTCTCACTGTTCTGGACTTCGGGATTTACAGTATGTCTAAATAAATATTTCCTATAGCACCAAAAAGCTTCAAGTGTTGCAAATAGTACTCAATGCAGGCAATCTGTGATCAAAAGAAAATCAAGACGTTTTCTTGTGCTCCAACTATGAAAGGCTAAACCTCAAATTTTTATGTGGACTTCCTGAGCCTGCCATGGAAAAACAAAAATCTTATATGGAATTTGGGGCATAAGGCAAAAATGTTTCAGTAGAATGCTTTGCTTATTCCAAAGAAGTATATTTCTTTTTTCCTCCAGACTGGAATGTATCAAAAAATATGTGAGGAAAAGCGTGTGGAGTGCCTGTTCTATATGCAGGAATGTATATAGTGCAGCAAACAATATGGCCTGTATTTATCATGGATAAAAAGAGAATTTGGTATGATAATGAAACTGGGATCATCAAATGTAGCTCCACATTTAATGAAAGCTGGACCATGTTCTTCAGAAGCAAAGTAGATTCTGCTCAACAGCCTGGAGAACTTTCAAATTTAGTCTCTTTGGTTCAAAACCACTTCTTGTTCTCATCAGTATGTACCAGCTGATGGCCCTTCCCCCCCCCCTTCTATTCTTGATTTTTGTTTCAACAAAGAGAAAATTAGGGACAGGCAGAGAAACTGGAAATAGAAACTCTATTGAGCTTTGATACAGGACCAGAGATCCTCTTTTCCAGAATACTACATGTCCCTTGGACTGCAAGGCGTTCAAACCGGTCAGTCCTAGAAGAGATCAACCCCGACTGCTCTTTAGAAGGCCAGATCCTGAAGTTGAAACTCAAATACTTTGGCCACCTAATGAGAAGGAAGGACTCACTGGAGAAGGGCCTAATGCTGGGAAAGATTGAGGGCAATAGAAGAAGGGGACGACAGAGAATGAGATGGCTGGATGGAGTCACTGAAGCAGTAGGTGTGAATTTAAATGGACTCCAGAAGATGGTAGAGGACAGGAAGACCTGGAGGAACGTTGTCCATGGGGTCGCGATGGGTCGGACACGACTTCGCAATTAACAACAACAACAAAACAAGATCTGAATAACAACATGAACCAGAACAATAAGAGTCCAGCCGTACTTTGCATTAAATATATAGCATACTCTCCAATATATTTTTAAAATAAAAATTAACGAGAAAGCAAAGTAAATAAATGTGATATAATGAAAGATATGTTCAATACTGTCTTTCCCCAAACATTATCTCCTCTAACACAATGAACGTTTTACTAAATTTTATCCCTGTGGATAATTCTACCTTGGAGGGATTGGGCTAGGAAGAGAAGTTGAAACCTTCACTTCTCTTGTATTGGCATCAGCATCATCTCAATTATTATCTCAATGTTTTGAGTAAAGACTGCACAGCTTTATATGAAATAACATGTAGCTTGATACTTCGAAGTTTGGATTTCTAGAATCCAATCTGGGCCGGTCACTGGGACCAGAAGTTTAGTCTTCCAAGCTTTCAGACTCGTGCTGGGGCCCGTCCTCAGGATATTTCTTTCTACCAGAATGTGTGCTTTGGGCTGTTGTATGTGTAGTATTTATGTGGTGGCTGGTTGGGCATGGCTTCTTATTGGTTGATTGAGGTGTTGGATAGTCAGCTATTAAGTCATTGGCTGTTGTTTCCTTGTGCTGCCAAGTTCTCATCTCCTATGTACCTGATAAGCTGGTTGTAAATCAGCAATCCTGTTGACTGACGAGGGACCCATTTCCCAGGCTTCAATCACGTCCCTGTCTATCTTTGTACCTGCTCAACCAACAATCTTAGTAGCTGTGAAACTGAATGTATGTCTTTGTTCACTGCTACCAATGAGGCTACCAATGAGTGTGAGTCTCCTCGGGCTTCTCACTCCTCGGGCCAGCACAGCTTGGTTTCCATCCTTCCCTACTTCTTCCCTACTTTCCAATCCTCTCTTCCCTCCCCCCCCCCCCCCGTTGCTAAATATCAGGGTTGTGATGCTTGTCTAGCAGAATGGCAGCCATGACATGATATTTCAATGTCCCCATATTATCGGGCATAATGTATCCTTGCAATATATATGCTCCTGGTCAGAGATAAGTCCAAGTTGATCTTAATTAACATGGACTCATGGCACTGAATCCTCAGGAATGAACAACATAGGCTTTAGCCATACTGGGCTGTAATATCCATCTGCTAAATTATGATTCAAGACTTTTTCATTAGTTATGTCTTGGCCTTAGAACTGGATGTTTTGTGCAGGATGATTCCCATGCAGAATGGGACCAGACTAGGCTGCAGTCTAAATACTGGTAAGGCTCCCTTCCTATTTCATGCCAGAATTCAGAATATCCAATTCCGAGTACTCCAGTGAACCTGTCCTGCAGAACTCAGTTGTGAATCTGTTCCCTGCCTGTGGCTTGCCTGGTCAAAATGTTCAGGTAGCAAGAACAAGAGGGGAAATGGTAAGGCAAATGGGCATCGGGCTACAGGGATTTGTTCTCAGCTAAGCTAGCTTAGTTCTTATCTGGTTCCAGCCAGAGACGCAAAATGGTGGGAATTGGCTTCTTGGTGTGAAGAATGCACTGATGGAGAGAATGCAGCCCAGTGCTCCCTCCACCCCTTTCCTCCTCCTCCTTCTTTTCTCCCCAAATGTGAGCTTGCTGCCTATTATTCAACCCTGTTTTGTTAAATTGGAGAACAGAGAGTTTTTTATTCCTTCCCAGAAGTGCCCTTTCAGATTCTGTAACTGTGTGTCCTAATCCCCAGGAAGCAAGAGACCAAGATCAGTCACGATTGGACTCCATGGTACTACTCATTCTGAAACTGGATCAGCTGGACCAGGATATTGAGAATGCTCTCAGCGAAAGCTCTTCGCCTTCCAGCACATTGACCCACCCAGGAAAGCCCATCCCCGTAAGTCTGCTGAACCTTCTATTCCAGTTGTTTATATTTACTCGCTACAAATTTTTTTCTTGTTGCTTCTTTTTCTTTTCTTGCTCCCATTGTCCTTTCAGCTCAAGAATCTGCAGTTTCCAAAACATATAAACAAAGATAGATTTCTTGTTCTGTTTCTTAGGTCTAGCTCTGTCTTCCAGAGGCTGTTCTCATTGTGCCTGCTCAGAATGCTAGTCTAGAATATCTGGAGGCAACAAGGCAGACCTGGCTTCTGTTTCTGCCTTTTGTCTTCCTCCATGCTTGGGGAATGATAAGGTTCTTAGACCAAGTCTGGTCTAAGTTTCCCAACTTTCTTAAGTTTTGGCCAGAGGTTCTCTGTTTTTAAAGGCAGAATTAAAGTCAAACCAACCAAATGATCTGATGTTGCTGGTGCTGAATTGGAAAAGCTATGGATGTATGGGATGCTGCTTTCCTCATTTTATTTATTATACGTTTCACTAAGTCTCAGAGACTGCTTAAAAATCCTGCCTTTCTAAAAAGAATTTCAGTGTCTGGCCCCAAATGAGTCCACCCGAATTTATTGCACCAAAGGATTATAGAGAAAGGACAAGTGATTATTTCTATAATATTGAATAATATTTAGAATTGGATAGAGTTAAACTGAATAAATTAAATTTCATTATATTGCAAAAATAATGGTATTGCACAGATTTTGCTACACACCGTACCTGTTTACTGGGTTCTTTAAATCATTTACATGATATGTGTCACAACAGAGTCCTCCCAAGAAAGGCTACAAAAACTAACTTTATACTGTATGTAAAGCAAGAAAAGGAAGAAAACAACCTAATCATTTGTAAACTTCAAGAGGTTGGCATATTTTGAATGATTCCCTATAAGAATTTTTTAACTAATGATGCTGGGCGCGTTTGATTATCATATCTCTTTAAAAAAGAGATGCATTATCACCCATAATTCAAAATGGCATATAGCCCATCCTACTTCATAGGCACCCCGTATAACCCAATATGCAGTTTGGTGTGCATGTCCTGGTATATTCAAAGGGACTTAATTGTATGCAATGACTGTATGCTGGTACAGAGGGCTTAAAACCCTGGGAAAAAAATGAATGTTATCAGATGTTGGTTCACATTTTAAATGGAAAAAAGAAGCAATAGGAGATTTCACCTGCACGAGGCTCCATGTGATGATGTCACTCCGACTGGCTAAAGATTTCCAGATGTTGCTGAAGGTTTCAAATGCTTCCAAAGACAAAAGATGAAGATATAATATGATATGCACAGGAATTATCAAGAGAAAACAGGCCAGAATTTTGAAACTGCAGACTCCTGAACAAAACTACATTTATTCTTTTCTTTGTGTAGGACACTAAAGCTTTGATCTTTAAGGTACTTTTCAGTAACAGAACAACAGATATAGGCAGCACTCTGAGTACAATAAGGCAGGGGAAAGAAATGAGTGTATTCCACAAAGTTAACAGCGCTATCATCCTATGTGTGCAGTCCCTAAAGAATTTTACTTCTCTTTTAAAGGATTCGGAATCACTTCCTGGAGATACAGTAGACATCATTTCTTTAAATAACCAGCAAAAGAACCAACCACCGCCATCACCTCCTCTACCTCCTACTCTCTATGGTGCAGATAAAGCATTTCCTATCCCAATGGCTGGTTCTGGAGCAAAACCAAAGGCTGGGGTGAGCTAAAAAAAAAAAACACCTTTTAATATGTATGTGTGTGCTGGGAAGGGTGTATCTCAAACCATGGTTCTATCCTATAGTTTTATGCATTTATATATAGCTTATTTTTGCAGAAACTAGGATATTCCATAATGTCAAAAACCTGTTGTACAGCTAAGGTTCTTTTTCCATTTGATTCAGTGCCAGAAGGAGAGGGAGAGGGAGATTTTTTAAAAAAAAAATCAAGTTATTTGGAAAATTGGCAGTCGGCACACATAGAAAGTAATGATTCTACATATTAGATCTTGGTAAATATGAACCACTCTCACAGGTATATGTTCCACACAGCTCTTATTATCTTGTAGTGTAGATTATGTATTAATGATAATAGCTAGTAAATCAAAATGACTGCAAGCAGTTTCTTATTTTATCCAGAACTTTTCAGAAGATAGTCTGCATTTTTAACTATAATAGCACTTAGCAATAGCAATAGGACTTAAACTTATATAGCAATAGACTTTTATACAGCTTCACAGTGCTTTACAGCCTCTCTAAGTGGTTTACAGAGTCAGCCTATTGTCCCCAACAATCTGGGTCCTCATTTTACCGACTCAGAAGGATAGAAAGCTGAGTCAACCTTGAGCCAGTGAGATTCAAATGCCAAGCTGCTGGCAATTGGCAGTCAGCAGAATTAAGTTGCAATACTGCATTCTAACCACTGTGCCGCCACGGCTCTTATTGCCCTCAACAATCTGGCTCTTCAATTTACTGACCTCAGAAAGAAGGAAGGCTACGTCAACCGTGAGCCGGTCAGAATCGAACTGCTGGATGTGAGTTGATATTATCCTGCAATAATACATTCTAACTACTGCGCCACCACAGTAATAGGAATAGTTTGTCTGCTTCCCTTAACTTGTCTGGATAGCCACATTAATACCTTTGAAATCCTATAAAGTGCTACATTTTAATCTTAACAGGAATTCTGAGATTCTTCAAATGCGTGCATATTTTGCCATATTGGATAATGAATTGAAATTTGATCTTACTCTCTTTTTATAGTAACTGTATTAAAATTATAATTACAACAATAATAAAACGGATACAAACTAAACAAATAAAAGAATAAAAAGAAAAACAGAAGGTACAGAAAGGAAAAATAGAAATGAAACAAATAATATAATATAAATATATAAAAAATGACTTACTCTTCATCACATATATAAGCAATTTTAGCAATTTATTACTTTCTCTTAAAATACAACAAATATCTCTTCTTCCCACATCCCACATCCCAATAATTAAATCCTTACAAACTTATCATTTCAATCTCGATCGGTAAAAGCCCATGAAGGATTACCAAAATTTATGTTAACCTTGATCAAATAAACCAACTTTATATTCCTTCATTTTACTTTTAGCAATCTTGATTTTAATCCTATAAAGTAATGTCCTAGAACAGGGGTAGGCAACCTTGGCTCTTTTATGAGTTGAGGTCCACGAGTCATAAAAGAGCCAAGGTTGCCTACCCCTGTCCTAGAACTTGATTTCTTTTCATCATTCAGTATCTTTGAAATTGTATTTTAAAATTTAGTTTTCTAAGGATTGAAGGAAAATAAACCAGTGCTGTAAAGCTTATTGATCTAAACCACTGGTTCTCAACCTGTGGGTCGGGACCCCATTTGGGGTCGAACGACCATTTCACGGGGGTCACCAAACAACGCAGTCTGCCATTTTTTCCCCTTTCCCTTAGCTGTGCTACTCCCTTTTATTCTATTGGCTTTTGAAAGCCAATAGAATAGACTCTCTTGAATAGAGTCTAATTCTATTGGCTTTCAAAAGCCAATAGGAATTGTCCAGGCTGTCTCTGCCCTGCTGAGCCCGCCAAAAGTCCCATTCTGCAAACGGTGCTGCACCAGTTGAGTAGTCCTGGACTTATGACCGGTTGGGGGTCGTGGCATTAAAAGGGTTGAGAACCACTGATCTAAACAGATAAAAATGATTAATAAATAATTTCCAAAAGTTATTAAAAAAAGGAAGTGTGCAACCCTAATGTCCTTTTCAAGGTGTCAACTGTGATTTGAGCAAGATAGCTATTCCTTCAACTTTCAGAGCTCTAAACCTTCTGATCCTTGTGTTCTCCACAAGAGGAGCAACTGTCTGGAACACAATTCCCAGAGAGGAATTACAAAGAACCAGTCTACTTGCCAGATCTTCACTCCAGCGGTTGGCTCAACTTTTAAGGAGCCATCTTCAGTTCACCATTTTCCCCCTAGAAGTCTAACTTTGATCTTACTCTCATGAAAATGCTTTGAAATAACCTTTAATAAAATAAAACAATGGCAAAACCATTTCTGTATGAGAAGGGGGGGAGATATATAGATTGAGAATGGGCTAGGTACCCACAATTCATGCTACTTCAAAGGCTTTTGAAATATCATAAAAGGAATATAATTTGTCAAAAGGAACTGAATGACAATGTACGCAGCTAGCACAATCTGATTATGAGAAAAAGAAGAAGATAACTGGGTATATGGGTATTTACAAAAACGTCTCAATCCTTGAACAAATGCAAACAAAATTCTTGACATTATAGCACATATTCCTTACTCAACTTTTGATGTCACCACCAGATTAGAGATAGACTGTATCTCATTTAGATGGCAAGATTATGTCAATTAAGATTCTACTTGGTTTGGGAATAAAACAAATCTTCATAGAACATATGCAAGGAGTATGGAATTTATACATTTAGGTAGACTGAGCCAAACTTTTCCATCTTCCCTATAGATTAGTTATTCTCTTTCTTTGGACACTCCCTAATAACGTTTTATCTAGTGCTGATGGGTATGCTTCTTTTCTTGGCGACCTCACAAGGCTAATAATAATATAAACGGACATAATAATCAGACTTACTACCATGAAACTGGAATAAATTACTTTTTCGATTAATAAAGCTATTTGCATAAAGAAACATAAATGTAACATAGGCTCTTCTCAGTTTCTATCTTAACGTGAAATTAAAAAGGCTTCTAATATGTATGGATCTCTACCCTTTTAACAGGATGCTGTTCTTACATTCCTCCAAAAGAATTGCTCTTTGTATTTGGCTGCAATAATGTGGAATAATGTATTCATTATCTATTAAATTACCCATTGTATTTGGACTTTAGAAAGAGGGCTTGTCCATTATTTTAAGGCAGCATTGTGATAAATCTTCCATGGTAATCAGTGGTGAATGCTTAAGAGAGATTTTCCTGCATATTTGTATTGGATTCCCCAACCAAGAAAAATTTAATCACTTCTTATTTGAACATTTTAGTTGTTAAATATTGAATTATTATATATTTCATATAGATTTGTTGCAGCGATCTCTTGTTCAATGTAATTCAAGTATAATTGACTAATAGATTGGGAAAATGATGATGGAGAAGTAGGTAAAATTATAGTGTGTAGGTGGTGATCATTATCTTTCAATCCAGTAGTCCTCTACTTACAATGGTAATTGATCCTGGCATTTATGATAGTAAGTCGTAACGGTCGTAAAGTGGGTCACTACATGACTGAACCTGTTTTTATGACTTTTTTGTGATGGTAATTAAGCAAACATGTCAATCATAAAGCAGACATTGCAGTTATTAAGCAAACACTGCAGTCATTAACTGAATTCATTCTGGAACAATTTTTTGATAGAAACTGGAAGTAAACACCAGTTTCCAGCAAAAGTATTGTACATCTTGTTCACATGGCAGCAGAGTGCTACAAGGGGCTATAAATTGGCCTGGTTGCCAAATGCCCTAAATGCTGTTACATACCACAGGGGGTAACGTTGGAACTTTGAAACTGAATCGTAAGTCCTTTTGGGGATGTTTGTTGTGTCTTTGGTTGCTAAGGGACAGTCATAAATCAAGGACTACCTGTATGCTCAATACATTGTTTGAGGAAATATTCCTCAGGAAAGCTAATGCTGGAAATTTTAGGTATAGGAAAGTAAGCCTGATTTAGTTTTATCAGATGTTCTATGAACCCTCTGAACAGAAAATGCCTACCGTATATGCCGGCATACAAGGCGACCCGGCGTATAAGACGACCCCTGTCTTTATCGCTGGGCCGCATTCCTAGAACGTCGTCTTATACGCCAGAAACTACCAGTATTTCTGGCGTATAAGATGACTCGGCGTATAAGACGACCCCCGTCTTTGGCGCCGATTTCAGCGCTCGCGGAAGTTGCCTTATACGCCGGCATTTATGGTATATATCAGTTCTGTGGGCTGGGCCGTCTAGGACAATTTGCTGCGGTCAACTCAGCATGGTCGTCTCGCCAGGGTCATCTTGCCACGACCAACTCACTGCAGCCATCTCACTGTGGTCAACTTGTCATGGGACAACTCATCGCGGAAAATTCCACACAGAATAATTCAATGGGATAAATGTTATCTGCCACTGTTTCTTTGACATCATTTCTATTGACAAAAATGGAAACTATGTCAAAGAAACAGTGGCAGATTACATTTATTGTGTTGAGTTATTCTGTGCGCCTCGTTCCGTGGTGAGTTATCCTGTAGCAATTTGGCCACAGTGAGCTGCCCCACGGTGAGTCGGCTGTGTTGAGATGGCCGTGTTGAATTGGCTGTATTGACATGGCCAAGGCATGTTGGCGTCGGCAAAATTGTCCCATTCTGGGGAGTATTGTCCCCAAGTCATCTCTGATGTAGCCATCCTTTCTTATATTGTGTAGTCACTGACTGTAACAGATAATCCTTGTCTCTCTCTCCATCTATTCCAGAGTAAAATGGTAAGATTGGCCATTTGCATGACAAACTGAACCCTATCTGACTTAAAAAGTGAGAAGCTTGTTTTTATATCTTTATGTTCTTCTTTCATGACTAGGATGGTAGTCATAAAGCAGTGGAGTTTCTTTCATTCCTTCTAGCAATTTGAACTTCCAACCTATCAGAAGTTAGCTGGCAGGTCAAAGCAGCAATAAGCCATGCAGATTTCAGAACGACCTCTTTAAACCTAGCCTGGGGTAAAATCACAATCTTACAAACTATTTTCATATTTAATTTATTATGAA